TCCTTCCTTCCTTCCTTCCTTCCTTCCTTCCTTCTCTACACACTATCCTATCAACTAAATCAAAATGCTGTTTTCTTTGTTGCTGACTCAGCAGGCTTCCTTTCCACTCTGTGTTTCTGTCTGCCTGTCTTATTAGGAGTGCTGTCAGGGAGTTTTGAACCAATCGGATCTGTTGTTGCAACAACCTGCAGATAGAAGAAGAGTCCCCGAGGTAAAAGGAACTGAGGCTGAGAGGAAGAGGAGGAGGAAGAGGAATGTTGTGTTCAGGGTCGACTCCGTTCACATCACTTCATTCATGCCCATAAAAGGGAAGTTGAGTCATTTATGATGCAACAAGAACAATCTGAGTTCAGCTCCTCTTCCTCCAACCTCCTCATCCTCCTCCCTCCACACTGAGGAGGCGGAGCCTAACTCCTGTTTATTCTCTCCTCTTTCCATCTGTCTCTCTCTGCTGGTTTGTTCAGAGCTGCTGCTGCAGGAGGAAGACGAGGAGGAGGAGGAGGAGGAGGATCAGCTGGAGCTGCTGACCTGAGAGGAAGAGGCAGCAGTGGCAGTCAGCAGTGGCAGGAGGCCAGAGAGAAGCAGAACCTGCAGCTCTTGGACCAGGAGGACAGGAAGAGGAAGGAGGAGGAGGAGGAGGAACCCTCAGTGGAGACCAGGGAGCAGCAGGAAGAGGAGCTGGGACAGAGGGAGGTGCAGCAGCTGGACTTTGGCTYGCTGCTGGGACACCAGGACCTTCAGACCTCCAGCACCATCTCAGACCAAGGCCACCTCATGGATTTTAAGTCCAACCTCAGGAGCGTGAAAGCCAAGACAGAGGAGAAGGCGAACTCGCAGCAGGTGGACTTCCGCAGCGTGCTGGGGAAGAAGGGCACCACCAACACCAATGGCAGCAAACCAACCGAYACGCCCACCAAGAACGCCGCGGACTTCCGCTCCGTCTTAGCCAACAAGAAGAACCCACTGGGCCCTGAGAAGAACGGAGAGAAGGTCAACAACTGTGTGGATGGAGAGGTCCATGAGAAGAAGACTGGAGGAGGAGGAGGAGCACCGGAGTTCGTGGAGAAGCTGAATGATCTGAGGGTTCTGGACGGTCAGCGCCTCCAGCTGCAGTGTCGCCTCGCCGCCACCGAGGCTGCTGTCACCTGGACGCTGGACGGGAAGGTCATCAAACCCTCCAAGTTCATCATCCTCTCCAACGAAGGTCAGAGGTCACACACACACACACACACACACACACACACA